CAGGTGGCTTCCTCAACTCCGTGGTTCCTCCATAGCACCTTCACTAGTGGAATCCGTTTGTTTCGGAGCTCTTTGACTTTTCGATCGAGTACTTGAACTGGTTTCTCTTCATAGGCCAGTGATTCATCTACTTCGATATCCTCCGGTTGCAATACATGGGATGGGTCAGGATGGTACTTCTTTAGCATTGACACGTGAAATACATCATGGATTCGAGAAAGACTGGACGGTAGCTCCAATCGATACGCGACCGCTCCAACCCTCTGAAGGATCTTGTAGGTCCGACGTACCGTGGTTGAAGCTTCTTTCCTTTACCCGTTGTAAGACTTCGTAAGGGTGTGATCTTGAGAAATACGTAGTCCCCAACTTCAAACTCCAAGTCTTTTCTTCGGTTATCCGCGTAGCTCTTTTGGCGACTTTGGGCAGTTTGGATTCGTTGTCGTATCAACTTGACCTTCTCGTGAGCCTCTTCCATCCATGGAATGGTTGCCGGTCTTGTGCTTTCTTTTCACCAACTTCATCCCAACAAATCGGCGACCGGCACTTGCGTCCGTAGAGATTTCGTACGGAGCCATTTGAATCGACGAATGGAAACTATTGTTATATGCAAATTCGACTAAGGTCATGTGCTGACCCCAATTGCCTCCGAAGTCTAGAATACAGGTTCGTAGCATGTCCTCCAGAGTCTGAATAGTCCGTTCCGACTGGCCATCCGTCTGAGGATGATAGGTTGTGCTCAAGTTGAGTTTCGTCCCCAGGGTTTCTTGGAATTTCTGCCAAAATCGTGATACAAACCGTGGATCCCGATCGGAAACGATGCTCACTGGAACACCGTGTAGTCTTACAACCTCATCCATGTACAGTCGAGCCAATTTATCCATTGAGCACTTCATGTTCACCGGCAAGAAATGGGCCGACTTGGTTAAGCGATCAACGATCACCCAAACGGCATCGTGTCCTCTTTGCGTCCTTGGTAAACCGGATACGAAGTCCATTGTGATGTTTTCCCATTTCCACTCGGGTATCTCCAAGGGTTGTAATAGCCCGATGGTTTTTGATGCTCTGCCTTCACTTGCTGGCAAATAAGACATTTCTGCACATATTGAGCTATTTCCCTCTTCATATTATCCCACCAATAGGTCCCTTTCAGGTCTTGATACATCTTGCTGCTACCCGGATGGATTGTATACTTGGACCGATGAGCTTCCTCCAGAATTTCCGCTTTTAACGATTCATCCTTTGGTACCACCATTCGATTTCGGTATTTCAAAATACCCTCAGGACTCAAATTAAAGTCCGTAGTTTCTCCCTTCTCCACTTTCTCTCTCCATTTCCGTACCATCAAATCCTCCTTGCGCCTCTTTTATACGTTCCAGTAGAGTGGATGTAACCCTAATATTGCCAAATATCACCTTATGGCTCCCCAAACAGGGTTGCCACTCGCACACGGATTCTAGCAAAATCCCACTCCTTAATCATTAGCCCTGCTACCTGCACCTTATGACTCAAGGCATCTGCTACCACATTTGCCTTTCCCGGATGGTCATTTGATCGTTGCAGTCGTAATCTTCCAGGAATTCCATCCACCTTCGTTGCCTCATGTTCAGCTCCTTCTGGGAGAAAAGGTATCTCAGACTCTTGTGATCCGAATACACTTCGAAGGTCACCCCATATAGGTAATGCCTCCACTTTTTCAGAGCAAATACAACAGCGGCTAATTCTAGGTCGTGAGTCGGGTAGTTCTGCTCGTGAAGCTTCAATTTCCTAGAGGCGAAAGCTATCACATTCCGGTTCTGCATCAAAACACATCCCAATCCTCTCGCGACGCGTCCGCATATACTGCAAACCCGTCCACTCCATTTGGCAAGACCAGTACTGGAGCCATGGTCAATCTTTTCTTTAATTCCTGAAAATTCGTTTCGCATCGGCCGTTCCAGATAAACTGGCCATGTTTCTTTGTCAAGTCAGTTAGAGTCCTGCCAGTTTGGAAAAATCCTTAATGAACCTTCGGTAGTACCCAGCTAGCCCTAGAAAGCTACGAATTTCCGTGGGGGTTTCTGGCCTCTTCCAATTTGTCACGGCCTCAACGTTCGCCGGGTCCACCGAAATACCTTCATGAGAGATCACGTGCCCTAGAAATGCCACTTTCTCCAACCAGAACTCGCATTTACTAAACTTAGCATACAGTTGATGTTCCCGTAACGTCTGTAAAACCACTCTCAAATGCTCCTCATGCTCCTCGCGTGTCTTAGAGTAGACCAAAATGTCGTCAATGAACACAGCGACAAATCGGTCTAGGTAGGGTTTAAAAACCCTATGCATTAAGTCCATGAAGGCGGCAGGAGCATTAGTCAGTCCAAAGGGCATAACGGCGAACTCGTAATGCCCGTATCTTGAGTTGAAGCAGTTTTCGGAATGTCCTCCTTCGTAATCAACAACTGGTAGTATCCCTGTCGGAGGTCCAACTTCGAGAAGACCACTGCTCCCTGCAGCTGGTCAAACAACTCATCGATGTGGGGCAGTGGATACTTATTCTTGATGGTCACGTTGTTCACCCCGGTAATCAATGCACATCCTCAACGTTCCATCCTTTTTCTTCACAAATAGGACCGGAGCTCCCCAAGGAGACTCACTCTCGTGAATGAATCCCCGCTCCAAAAGGTCTTGCAATTGCAACTTAAGCTCTTTAAGTTCTGCAGGCGCCATTCGGTAAGGGTTTTCGAGATAGGTGCAGTTCCAGGTAAAAGATCTATTCGAAATTCTATCTCTCTTTCCGGAGGTAAAGCCACCAACTCATCAGGAAACACATCCGGAAATTCCCTCACTACGGCCACGTCTTCCACTTTTAACTTATCCGTAGGGGTATTAATTAGAAAGGCCAAATATCCTTGCGCCCCTCTACTTATCAGTTTCCTAACTCGAATGCCCGAAATGAGAGCAGATGAGGCTAACCTACCCCTTATATCTAACCTTAAGGTTGCCTCGCCAGGAATGCGAAATTCAACTATTTTCGTTTTACAGTCCAGTTGGGCGTTATATTTGGCTAACCAGTCCATACCCAAAATCACGTCGTACCCCTTAATGGACAAGCTAATCAGGTCTCCTAGAAATCTCCTTTCACCTACCCATACATCGCAATCCTTATAAACCATACTAGTCACCAAACGTTGATTCCCCGTAGGTGTACTAACCTCTAAGTCATATGGTAAGCTAGCAGGTTTTATATCGATGCCACACATGAAATCAGGGTTAACAAACGAATGAGTGGCACCAGGATCAATTAAAACTTTGGCAAAGCGGTGGAAAATAGGGATCGTACCTTCCACCACCTCGGAAGACTCTGGGATCTGGTGGGGCTCTAAGGAATATACCCTAGCCGGAACTTTAGGCTTAGATCCGTCTCCCTTGGTCGATCCAGTATTGGTCCTCGACGGTAGTTGGCTCCCCTTTCCGTCTTGTTTCAGGACCGGACATGTAGCCAGCTGATGGTCCGCACTTCCACACCGCAGGCATTTCCCCTGTTTCCTCCAGCAATTATCCTCGGTGTGGTTTGTCTTCCCACAGTGCCCACAGGGACCGCGAGGTGCAGAAGCCGAGCCACTCTGAACGTTTCCCCTCGGTCCTCGCCCAGCTTGACCACCCCTGAACGGAGTCCCTCTGCCTGACCCAGAATGACGACCACCCCCAGTTCCTCGTCCAAACTTGGAAGGAGTGCTCTTCTCACCTTGTCCAGACGTACTCCCAGGAAAACCACGTTTTTTAGCCTGGAAGTTTCGAACCTGCAGCCGTGCACTCTCAACCCGTTGGGCTTTTTCCATTGCCTCGCTAAACGTAGTGATTTGAGCCGCCGCGAGGTCTTTCTGGATCTCAACGTTCAAGCCCTGAATAAAGCGCCTCACGCGTCGTTGCTCGGTCATGATTAATTCAGGCGCGAATTTGGACAGGCGGGTAAACTGGCTCTCGTACTCCGCCACAGTCTGAGCCCCTTGCCGGAGCCGGATAAACTCGTCCTCCTTCCTCTCCTGGACTAGAGGAGGGAAAAACTTAGCATTAAACTCTCGTATAAAGTTCACCCATGTCCTCGGTGTCTGCTCTCGCTCCCATTTCTGCCTAATTACGTTCCACCAGGAACGGGCAGCCCCCTCCAGTTGAAACACGGCAAAAGTGACCTGCCGTTCGTCGGGTAGTGTAGGGCCGCGAATATATCAACCATTTTCTCAAGCCATTTTTCAGCCACATCAGGGTCGGGTCCCCAATAAACTTTGGCGGGGAAAACTTTTGAAAACGTTCGAGAGCTCTATCCTCGCTCTCAACGTGGTTACCAGGATTTCCGGGGTTAGGGTTTGGGTTTTGGCCCTGTTGTTGCACTACTTGTGCAAGTAGGTTGGTCATTTGCTGCATAGCAGCAGCTATTTGAACGTTGGGGTCTATCTGGGGTTCAGGATTTGGTCCCGTAGAAGCTTCTCCCGTTTCTCTAACCGGTGTGGGTTGCCTAACGCGCCCGCGTCCCCGACCACTTCGTGTTCCTTCCATAAGTTCACTCGGTCTAGGCAAAAGTACTAAACCAAAGCAGCAGTAAAACATATAAGCAATACTTAACTTTGCACAAAAACACATATTGATGCATTTCAAACAAGATCGCAAGCACACATATATACAAGCCAAACATATATTTACAATCAGTCAGTCAAGTACGGCCAAAGCACGTACGTACATACACGATCCTCCCGAGGATAGGCCTATCAAAAGAAATTTACACGTAGCTAACCCTACACTCAAAACGGTTAGCTAAGGCTCTATCCCTATCCCTATGTACATTCAAAACCACCACTAGCCAAAAGGTGCCTAGATATCATAGCTTAGTCGGTTGTCGGGGTCTGAGACCCAGGCGATGGGGTAGATTCCTCCCCAACCTCGGCCCCAGCATACGAGGCCTCATCTCTAGACTCCTCGAGTCCATCGTCGCATAGGTTAAGGATCGCCTCAGCACGACCCCTCACTTTGCGAGCTCGCTTAACCTCACGCTCGCGTGCATCCCTCAACTGATCACACAGGTCATCAACTCTCTCCTCGACCTCTTGCACGTCATATTCTAGCTCTTTAATACGCGAGGCTTGCTTCTCATTGGTGGCCTTAACCTGAGTCACCTCAGCCTCCAAAGTAGCAACCGCAGCTTCCAGCTTAGTATTATCCTTCGCAAACTCCTCGCGTTCCTTTGCCACCGCTAACACTAGAGCATTTGGGTAGGCATAATTGCTACGGCGCTCACACTGTCGAACGCGGCTAGCCGGGCTCCAACGCACCACGGCCCCTTCTGCCTCAGTTGATACTTAATTGTCGGCAGCGTGCTACGAGGACGATCGCCTACCGGCGGTCACTCGGGTCACCACTCGCATCCATCCTATAACAAAGGAAGAAATAATATGAATAACCGTAATAGGTATTAACAATAGCATTCTCAAGTCGAGCACTTCTCTCACACCCAGGCTAGTTCAAACCTAGGCTCTGATACCACCTGTGACAGCCCCACCTTCCCCTAAGGCGAACCAAAGGGGTTAGCGGACTGCCTGCCCAGCTCTCGCCAGGACTAACGGTACAGTTCACGTCGGTCTATTACGTTCTGGAACATAGCAATGCGCGCAAACAAGTCAAAAACACAAAATAAAAAAAACGAAAATTGAAGCCGAAGTGAACAGCAGAAGACACGTCAGAATCCGGGGGAATCTGGCCGGATTTTCGGCCGGATTCTCGGCCGGATACAAGGCCGAGAGCAAAACCAAGAAATTCCATTTTCCCTCGCAATCCGGCCAAGATTCCGGCCGGATTGTCTGGCCGGATTCCAGGCCGAATGCAACTGGCCGGATTTCCAATTTTTCTCAGGCAATCCGGCCTTCAATCCGGCCAGTTTCTGGCCGGATTCGACACTGTTCATCCTCGCCAAATTTTTTTCCTTTTCGTTTGAAAATCGCATTGATCCGAAATCCATCCAAACATTTACCAAACATATATATATACATCAATTCAACATTTACAAGCCAAAACGGCCTACCAAAATCATTCACTAAGGAAGTACACATTCGATTTGCCTATCAAAAGGAAATGAACCCGTTATACATTAGGGTTTCACTTCAAGAGCAATGCAAAAGACATTTACATGCTCAATTCGGCCATTGACTAACCAATCCATTCTCAAAAGTAATTATCACCCTGTAAGGAAAACAAATAACACGGAATGAGCTAAAGCCCAGTGGTATACCACCCAATAAGCAATCAAAGTCATATAAGAATGAACTTTCATTTAGAGTGCACAAATAAGCAATGAAGCAAAACGGTAAAAGGATACGGTCGGCTCTCAAGAGCCCATTTCCACGCTTGCAATCTTGATCCAACCTCATTGACTCTCCGTCAATGTTACAAGTATCAAACCGTAGACCACCCTTTACTTCCACTTCCTTCCACCCAACATACCCCAACCGGGCCCGCACTCCATTTCAGTAGTTTTTGGTAATACTCGAGTTTACCGGAACCATGGGTCTCATTACCACAAGGTTCCCCAGTACAGTCCCCGTGGCAATTCAATCTTCACGACCAAGCCCTCGCCGGCTCGATCCAATTGACTACCAAACGGGGTTGAGCTCAGTAATGCAGTAAGGCCGTTGAACATCGTCCAAACGACATCAATTCAGTTTCCATGAAATGGAATTCACCAACCAATATATCAAGTTCAGTAATGCAATAAAACGGTAGCCATTCAGTGACAATATCAAAAGAGGTGAGGGCGATCAAGTACACCCTCACCTTAATCAATTTCAATATCCAAGTAAGCCATCAAGGCATCACATAACATTTAACAAAGCCACATAGTAACAATTTAGTGAGGTATACTCACCAAGTGAGAAAGTGGTATTTCATGTACCACGATCACCAAGCCGTCGTGCACTACCTTCAAGCCCTAACATGTAACACATACAATGAGACTCGATACCGAGCCATATAGCAATGCTAAACACAACCCCAAAAGGGTTTCATATGCATAAATGAGCATAATAGCAAACCAGAAATTAGAAAATGGCCTTAGTCTTGGCCCCAAATAGAAAACTGTTTTGCCCTTATTATGCGGTAATGGCGTCAAATTGTCTACGGTTATCGGATGGGGTGTAAGACCCACCGTTTCGAATCTATGAAACAGGGCTACAACAATGTAGAAGGTCACTCAATCCAGTTCCTAGCTTAACTAGGTCGAAAATGCCAAATACTATACCAGAATTACAAAAACAGGTTTGCAAAACACAGAAAACTGTAATCGGTATATCTCAGTCCTACAAGTCCAAATTCCGAAATTCCAAAGGCATAAGTTAGCTAAGTCATCCAGCTACATTTCATCAGAAGACACCAACTCCAAAATCCAAACCAATTCCAGTCAAAATGGCCAATTACTATCGCAGTTTTCGCATTCTGCTCAAAGCAGAACAGCTACAGTAATTTCGTCATAACTCATTCTACATTAATCCAAATGACCTGAAATTTTACAGGCATCTCAATCACATCAATACCTACAACTTTCATGTTTTGAGCAAAGTCAAATTCGGCCTCTAACCCTATGATCTAAAACCGGACAGAATTGGGATTTAAGAACCCTAACTTTCCATTTTCCATCCAAATCCAAAATTAGTTGCATTTATCCACATTTCACATCCACTAGAGCCATTATAGTCCATTGCCAATCGTCACAAACAACCACACCATCATAAACCAATTAAACCAGAAAAATCATCATAAATGGAAAACTTCACCAAATCACTTCAAACCAAGATTAAAACCAAAATTTCAGCACTCTTATCACTAATAAGCACAACATAAGCATCATTAGGTGTAGTAGGGTGTTTCAAGCTTCACTTACCAAGAACCAAGAGAGAGGAGGATGTTGGACACCTTAAACCTTCAAACAAGCTTCACTAAAGCACTCACTATCACTAAAAGGTAAGATTTTATGGAGCAAAAACTAAGTTAAACACTTGATTTGGTGGATTTGGACTTGTTAGAAGCTTGAATGTTGAAGAGTTTTGTCTTCCTTGGAGCTTGAGAGGGCCGGCTATGGTGGAGAGAAAAATGAGGAAATTTTAATGAATTTTGAAGATATTTAACCTTTGGTCAAAAAAGTCAAAATTTGGAATAGTATTTCTTAAGTCCTAACCACTAAGAAGGTGACATGTGGCACCTTATTAAATGCATTCCTATCTTTCTTTTCCCTCTCACATCAATCATTTCACACACTCTACTTATCATTTAACACCCGATAAATTTTAAACAGTATCCGAAACTTAACCTTATCGGCCGAATTTTTCCGAACTTTTCGCACTAGTGGGTCCCACGTCCACTATTTACTCTTAATTTTCTAAAATTTCCCCAATACTAGAAAAATCATCTTTAAACTATAATTGCTCATAAAATCCACTAAGAAAATATTTCTAAGCCAGAAAATGCAGGAAACATGCAATTAAGGGGAAAATAAACCCTAGGAAAATAATTAGGGTTTTACGGGTTCTCACAGAAGGTGAGCGGGGCGAAAGCTCTATATCGACTGGCTGGGTCTAGTTTTGGTTTTGTTTTGGTTCTCGTCCTAGTGCTTGGCACGGGCTGGTTGTATGGTGGCTTGAGAACTTTTGTATTCTCGACGGTTGTACTTCTTTCTGAGATAGCAATGTATACAAGTTTTGTTTTAAGTTTTGGATCCTCGTTTTGCTCTTTCTTGTGGTTCTATTTCTGATTTGTGTGAGTGAACGACTGAGTCCCGGCGAGAGCTGGGCAGGCGGTCCGCTGAACCCTCTAGTTCGCCTAAGGGGGAGGTGGGGCTGTCACAGCTTTAGCCAAACATTCGCATTTAAAAGTCCCATGGCCTTTCCCTTTATTTCACACATTCACACACTTCACATATTTCATGCACATTACGCATCATGATTTCAAACAACTTTTTTCATTTTTCCAAAAATGGGGCGCGACAGCTTGACGACTCCACTGGGGACTTCCTAAGTGGGTCCGAGCACTTGATTTAGTTATTCTTTTCTTTTTTTACCCATTTCATGTATCGCATTTGGATGTTCAGGGTTGCATTTTTTCTTTTTTTTTTAGCATTTTTGCATTTCGCACGTATCAACTCACTCCCTTATCCATTTGCATACGATTGATTTGATGGATGGATGGTTTATTTATGTGATCCCGCGCTTTGTATTGCATTGGGTGGGGGGATATTACCCTAGAGTCTCGCATCGGTTCTTGATCCCTCCCCTCAAAATAAGAAGCACTTCATACGTGCATGTATAGTTTTATTTACCCTATTTTTTCTTTTTTCCGTGGGCATTTCCCACACCACCCTGTAGGATTAGGATCAATTTCCTTAGGTAGGCGGATGGTGTGCTCTGCGCCCATAGCGATGCCTAAGGGATCACTCGAGCCACCGACCAAAGGTCCTGGGATTGATGACCCTTCGCCTTTAGGTCTAAAGGCTTGGGAACCTGGAGACTTATCGAGTCTAGATGCATTAATGAGCCAAATCTCATGCATCCATATTAGAAGTGCCTTAGGGTAGAGTCGACCTTATCCTGAACTAGGGACACTAGGCACGAGGGGAAGGATCCAACCCTTCTTTTCCTTTTATTGCTTTGTATTGATTTGCTACAATGTGTTATGTGTATTTATCTGATTGAACTAACTTTTCTTGGTTTTTGTCTCCATTGCATTCATAAGCCCTAGAAAATAAGAGTCCTGGCATGGTACTCTCTAGGAGCCTACCCTATTTGATATGACACGTTTAAATTCAATGCTTCGCATTTGTAGCATGAATACATTTCATTTTAAGCTCACCCCGACATACAAAAAGGGGTTCCTTAGGTCATGTTTCATTTCAAATTGCATATTTTATCGCTTTAATAAACTGGCATCATGCATAAGCCTTAGAGGGAATGCCATTTAGGGAATTCCGTTATAGGAATAAACCACCTCTTGTCTCGGATATGTAATCCAATGAGACTTGCACGTTTATATTTCTTGTACCGTCCAAACGGGTAGTGCACAAGGTAAGGTAGGATCCGATCATTTTTCATAGAGCGATCTTTGGAATATTAGTATCTAATAATCACTTTTTGGTCATTTTATCAAAATTGGTAAAAATTTCTCGCGTAAAGGACATTAATTTGAAGATAATTCATAAGCAATTCCTCATTGTTGAGATGG